GAACTTATCTCCTAGGAGCTTCAAGGGCCTGTCCTGTCCTCTGAATGTTCAGAGTTTGAAATCCTGCTGAGTTAGTGACTTATTTTGCACATAGTGTTTGGCCAGTTTTCCTACGAATGCCCTTTTTTTTGGTTCGAGATCCAGTTCGGGATCCTTCATTGTCTTTAATTTTCCTGTCTTCTCCAACTGGTATAGCTCCTCAATCTTGGTCTTTTATGACCTTGACATATGGTGAGTACCATCAGGCATTATTTTATTTTAATTAATTAATTTATTTATTTATTTATTTTTCAAGATTTTATTTATTTATTCATGAAAGACAGAGAGAGAGAGAGAGGCAGAGACATGGCAGAGGGAGAAGCAGGCTCCATACAGGGAGTGCAATGTGGGACTCCATCCTGGAACTCCGGGATCACGCCCTGAGCTGAAGGCAGATGCTCAACCGCTGAGCCACCCAGGTGTCCCTATTTTTATTTATTCTTTAAGGTTTTGTTTATTTATCTGAGAGAGAGAGAGGGAGAGATTATGCCTACAAGTAAGAGCAGGAACAGAAGGGGAGGGAGAGGGAAAAGCAGATGCTGTGTTGAGTGCAGAGCCTGACACAAGGCTGGATCCTAGGACCAGGAGATCATGACCTGAGCCAAAACAGAGAGTCAGATGCCCAACCACCTGAGCCACCCAGGTGTCCCCATCAGGTATTTTTTTAGAAAGTCCCTCAATTTGGATTGGGGTCTAAAAAGGTATGGGTTGACACCTCTCCCAAAATGGGTGACTGGGAGAAGGGCAAGGGCTCTTGGGGTGGCCAGCCACAGGGAGGGATGTATGCCAGACAAGCTTAGGGGCCTAGAGAAATAAACGAGTGGAAATATGACTTGAAGGTCAGTGACAGATATGACCAGGGAAACTAGCAGGGACATGGAATATGAAAACAAACTATTATTGAGTGCTGGCACATGCCTGTACTTGCCAAACACTTTACAAAAATTGATTAATTATTGGGGAGTCTAGGTGGCTCAGTCATTTGTGTGTCTAACTCTTGATTTTGGCTCGGGTCGTGATCTCAGGGTGGTGGGATCCAGCCCCTAGTTGTGTTCCACGCTTGGCTTAGAGTTTGCTTGTCCTTCTCCCTTCCTCTCTACTCCTTCCGCCTCTAAAAATGAATAAATCCAATCTTTAAAAAAGTTAATTATTTGGGACACCTGGGTGGCTCAGCAGTTGAGCATCTGCCTTTGGTTCAATGTGTGATCCTGGTCCTGGGACTGAGTCCCACATCGGGCTCCCTGAGAGGAGACTGCCTCTCCCTCCATCTATGTCTCTGTGTCTCTCATGAATAAATAAATAAAATCTTTAAAAAAAGAAAGTTAGGGGATCCCTGGGTGGCTCAGCAGTTTGGCACCTGCCTTCGGCCCAGGGCATGATCCTGGAGTCCCAGGATCGAGTCCCATGTCAGGCTCCCTGCATGGAGCCTGCTTCTCCCTCTGCCTCTCTCTCTCTCTCTCTCTCTCTGTCTCTTATGAATAAATAAATAAAATCTTTAAAAAAGAAAATTAAAAAAAGTTAATTATTTAAGGAATCCCTGCACCCAACGTGGGGCTTGAATTCATGGCCCCAAGATCAAGAGTCCCACGCTCTTCTGACTGAGCCAGGCAGGTGCCCCACCAGACATTTTATATCTGCTAACTCAGTCCTCTCAGCTACCCGTGAGGCTGGCACTATGGGAACCCTCACTTAACAGACAACTCAGAGATGTTTAACTCGTCTAAGGTCACCCACTGGAGAGTGCGCAGAGCGGGCTCCCTCCCCAATCTGCAGTCTGACTTTGTAGCCTGAACTCCTAACAGTCATGTTGCACCACCCGTCATTGTATCTTTAAAAGGGAGAGTGGGAGAGAGGGAGAAGGGTCTTCCATCCCTTGAAACGGGCCAGGCCCCTGGCTAGGCATTTTCTATCCGGTGTCTCACACTAGGCCCTGCAAGGTATACAATGGATGCTCAGTGCAGATTGCTCTCCTTTCTGCTCCTTCACTAAACTTCCTGGGCCAAGGGCAGGCATATGAACCCGTCTCCCACTGACCACTGTCTTTTCTTAAAGCTGTGACTGGGATGGGCCTGGATTCTTGTCCCTGGGGCCCAGTCTGCCAGATAGGGTGCCGGCAGGACTACCTGCTGGCAGGGAAGGAGGAAGCAGGAAGGCCACTGGGCCTCAGTGTTCTTGCGGGGTGTTTCTTGGCAACAGATGGGAACGCTTGAATGTGGGTGCTTTGCAAAACATCCTCTGCAGCCTCCAGAGCCAGCAAGTGCTGCCAGGATAAATTCTCTGGCTGCAGTCAGGCAGATGGGTTCACATCTCGCTTCCACCACCTGCTGAGCGTGTGCCTTTGGGACGTGGCTTTGCCTCCCTACACTTTGGATTCTTCACCTGTAAAATGGATGTAATGACAGTCCTGGGGGATTAATCAAGATAATTCATATAAAGTACAAATAGCCCAGTCCCTGGCACAGATACTAAATGTTCAATTATCATTACCTGTGTCACAGATGTGGTAAATGTGGTCCAGCAAGTTTTTGAGCCTTGTGGCAAGTAGTGATTGGGATTGAACTGGGGCTTGAATACAGGTCTGGGCACAGGATTTATCTTCTGTAGAGGGCAGCCTTGCAGTGGGGGATGAGTATTTTAGGTCAGGCCCCCAAAAGGGTGAGCATAAGTGCCCTAGACCCATGTGAAGCCCTTCCTTGGAGGGGGGAGCCCCACTCACTTAGCTAGTGCCAGGTAGCCCAGAGGAGTTGTTATCAGGGTGCTTTACTGGGAAATCTTGGTCATCTCTCTCTGACTCCTTTCTGAGAAGTAGATGAGTACTCAGTGTCCTCTCAAGGTGAGTGCCTGCCAATCAACTCAGATAATAGTTTGATGGCTGGGATGAGGGCAGGCAGCCAGAGGGAGGCTCGGGCTTTGTTCTTGTGAGGCCCTACAGAAGGGGCACCATGAGGCAGGGCCCTGGTGGGAGCAGGGTGGCTGGGGGTTGATGGGTCTGGGAGTAGGGCCCTGAAACACCAAGTTATTTAGGTTACTGTTCAACCAAAGGTCCAGTCCAGCAAGGGGGCAGGAATCCCACTTTGATGGTATATACTAACCTGTTGTTTGGTCCCCAAGACTGTGGCTTTGGAGGCGGGGGTGTAATATCCATTTATGTTGGCCTGAATCTATTTTTTATGGCTGAAGGCCATATCCCTCAAGTTCAAACAGACAAAGAGAGGGTGAAATAGGTCATCGAATCTTATGACAAAACGTCACATTGGCACAGGGCCCTCCTCTGAGCCCTTCCAAAGAGAAAGGTCTAGCTTTAGTGGAGAAAATGTGGACTCTGCAGACAGATGGCTCTGTGTGAATCTTGTCTTTCCCCAGGCAATGTTTTGTCAGGCAGGTCTTTTAATTTACCTAAACGTTGTTTAGTTAGTCTGAGTGAGAATGGCACCGAATTGTCATGACCGGTGACATTGCTGGCCTTCCATATATCATAACTGACACCCATTCACAACTTTTTGAACTTTTTTTTCTGGGTTGGTATGGGTAACGGTAAGCAGAGTCAGGCAGGGTGCCTTCCCTCTTGGGGCTTGCAATTTGTACCATCTCAAGTGTAGGGAGGCTGCCCAGCAAAAGCTACTGGGTTTTGAGGAATCCCCCGGAGTACATACTGCAGAATCAGGGAGGGAGAGTCCCTTTGCTTCCGAAGGCCTCCTGTCTATCTCCCATGTGCTGTATTTTGTGCTGGTCTGCCACTGAAGAAGGTTCTCCCCAAATCCAGAGGGGGACCTGTGGTCTGGCAGGTGTGAGGTGCGGGGGGGGTGGGGACGACGGTGCTCAGTTAGAAGAGGCTTGCTGCTCTTCATTCTGCTTTAGGGTAGAGTCTGATGTCAGAGCTCCTGCAGCAGCCCTTTCCTTCTCCAGGGCCCACAGGACTCAGTGATGACCCAACCTCTGCTTTCAGGGGTACTTTAGCTCCCTGGATGCCCACATGGCACCAACGTTGGTCTTGTAGGTGCAAATGCCAGAAAGGCCCAGGTGTCCTGACCAAAGCCCAAGAGGCCCAAGGAAAGCTTCTAGTTCAAACTGATATCTCTGGGCCAGGGTCAAATTGAAGGAGGCAAGAAGACGATGGCAGTGGGAAGGCCAAAGCTGGGAGGAGGCTAGAGGTCTTGCAGCAGGAGAAGTGCTTTCTCACTTATTCGCTCATCCCACAAACATGAGTTGAGCACCCACTCTGTGCCCTTAGCCCCATGCCCTATTTGGCCACTGCCTTTTCTCAAAGTCGTGAGTGGGATGGGGCTGGATTCTTGTCCCTGGAGCCCCGTCTGCCCGATTGGCACAAGCTGGGCCACCAGCTGGTGGGGAAGGAGGAGGGAAGACGGCCATCTGGGACTCAGCTGTAAACAAGACAGACAAACAGCTCTGCCCTCATGGAGCTGACATTAACACTAGGGGAAACACGCAAGATAAACAGGTAAAATAATATGTGTCTGATGGTGGCAAATGGTGAGGAGGAAAAATAATACAGGGAAGGAAGGGATAGGAAGTTTGTAGGAGATGCTGTGATTCAGATGGGTTGACCACGGAGGACCTCATTTAGTAAGAGCATAATAAAAAGCCCTGAAGAAAGTGGAGGAGAGGACTGTAACAACGCTCCTGGCTGGTGGACAACTGGTGAAAAGGCCATGCGTGGAACTTAGATGGTGGTGGCGTGAGGTGGCCGGATTGGCCAGAGCTGTGCGAGTGGAGGAGAGGGCAGAGGGGAGGAGGGGGGAGGTTAAGAGGGAGCTGGACAGGCAGGGCCTTCCAGGTGGCAGGAGGGATGCTCCCGGAGGCCAAGGGAGGGTCTGTGCAGAGGAGTAGCAAGACCGGCCTTAGATTTTAACAGGCTCATTTTGGCCGCACTCGAGAGTAGGCTGTAGGCGCCAGGGCAGAAGCCGGGAGCCCAGTTAGGAGGAGGCCACTGCAGTAATCCAAACACGTCCTGCTTCCCACTGTGCCTCCAGCACACAGCATGCTTCCTGCACAAGGTGGGCACTCGGCGAATCCCTACTGAATGATGTGTGAATTAAAGATGCCCGAATACCAGTTCTCAGGCCGGTGCGTGGGCTATGTGGAGAAGATACAGAAAAACAGATCTCAGGTATCGCTGCCAGGGATCCTAGTCCAAAGGGTTTCTTTTTTCAAAAAATAATTAACTATTTTAAAGATTTGTTTATTTGAGAGAGAGAGAGGGGATGTGCATGCGTGTGTGAGTATACTCCATTCCACAACCCTGAGATCATGACCTGAGCTGAAATCAAGAGTTGGATGCTTAACCAACTAAGCCACCCAGGTGCCCCTCCAGTTGATCTCTAATGGGAAGGAGGAATCTGGATTTTCAGTATAGTCTGCTGGTAATTCTAGGCATGGGGGCTGGTATTCAGAAATACTCTGGGTGCAAGTAACAGAGACTGACCAACAATGGCTTTAAACAAAGGGGATTTTCACTTTATTTACAAGAATTCTGAAGGAGTATGGCTGCCGGCATCAGCTTGGTCAAATGATGGTAGGGTAGGTCAGTGTCTGTGAGATTCTCTTGGCCTTTTTCTCATTGTAGCAAGGTGGCTGTTGGGGCTCCAGGCATCACATCCTCAATCAAGGCAGGAAGAATGGAGGGGCAGAGAGGTGTTACCCATGTCTGCCTCTTTTATCAGAAAAGCATAAACTTTCCCAGAAGCCCCTGTAAGACTGCCTCTTAAATTGCACTGGCCATACCTGGTCACATGTCACCCCAAGCTGCAAAGGAAGCTGGAACAGTGGGAATTGGGATTTACAACCTCTACAGTGGGAGGCAACTGGAATGAAGGGGCTGGGACCGACCACGGGGAATGTACATGGGTGGCTGCCATGGTTCCACTAGACCATGTGGGGTTTCATCCCCATGGCTTGCCTTCTCCACGGAGCACCTCTGGGGGCCACTGAGTGAAGTCTCAAGCATTCTCTCTGAGGGGCCTACTCCGTCCTAGATGCTGTCTTGCTTCTCTTCATATGTCTGAACACCACACAGACTGCTGGGGAGACTTCTTTGGGGAAATGGTGGTCTTTATTTGGGGATTGTGCATTGCTCTCACCTGGCAGACATTTAAAATAGCATCACCACGTTCTCACTAAGACACGTTCAAGGGCCTTTTAGAGCCTAACTTACATTTACACACACACACACACACACACACACACAAGCACACAGCATGTCTATTTACACAATGGCTGGCACCCCATCCAGGAAAAGAGCAACATCTTTGGTCATCCTCAAACCACTCAGTTAGGAGTGAAGACCAGGATGACCCCTTTCCTCCTGAATGTCCCACTTTTGGTCCAAGAATAAAATAGCATTCCAGTGGCAGCTTTGTTCCCCCGCAGTTTTGAGGGGTGAAAGGAAATGCTTTTCTAGTACTGCCCTATCACCTTAAATGATAGGTTTGCAAAGTCAGAGGTGGGGATTTTATTCTTCATGGGGAGTGGGGAGGGCGGACACAACCAGCCTGGTTTATTCTCTGAATCTTTAACAATGGGATAGAAGCAAAACGTTGCAACACTTGGTCTCCTGTGGGGAGGGATTTTTGAGGAAGAGTAAGTGAATTCACTGGAGCTGGCTCAGGTAGTAGAAACCAAGTAGGGAGTTGGAGCGGGGGATGGAAATGCGGACTCAGAGGAGCCAGTCTGTAAGGGTAGCAGTGGGGTCTTCAGACCAGTGTTCATATTTCCAGAAACCCACTGGAAATCACTCTATATTTGTTCTCCGTAGGCTTTAGGAAAAGGTAAAACAAAACAAAAATTCTTTTTGGCTAGAGTTACATCAGAACAGTGTGGTAAGAAAATGCAGATTGGCAATGATATACCTTTCCAGTGTCAATGACAATTATGCAACCGATATATAATTTGCTCGGCAACTCTCTTCCAAGGTCTGGGGCCCTGGAAGGGGGTGGATTATGGAGAGCCCCTGGGGCTGCAGAGGCAGGGCACCCCCAGGGCAGAGGTTCCAGGCAGTTAGTTAGGGGGCAGAGGTGGCTTCAGGGATCATGTTTCCACTATTTACCATGCCTGGCTGCTTACAGTGTGGGCCTCAGACCAGCAGCCCAGGAGCTGGTTAGAAATGCGAACTCTCAGCCCCCACCCAGATCGACTGAATCAGAAGCTGTACTGTAACAAGATCCCCAGTGATTCGCAGACACAATAAAGTTTGAGAAGCACTGTTCTAGACTTCTGGGAGCAGGAAGGCTGCAGCCCTGGTTAGATGCCCTTACAAGGCCCAGACAGGGAGGCTTTGGAGAGGAGAAAGCGAAAGCATGGTGTAGGGGAAGCTGTCCTCGGTGGTGGTCTTGCAATCTGGCAGGAGGGAGCCCCAAGGCTGCCCCGTGGGCTGCCCCGCCCTTCCTCACCAGGGCAGCTGCACTTGAACCAGATTGCCCTCAGCTGGCTTTCAAGCTGTGCCGCACTTAGCACACCTGGCTGCAGGTAAACCACAGTCAGGGAAGTTTTCTGAGAGCAGGGCCCATGAGGCACCGGCAAAATGGAGGGCTGGTTGCGCCAAAGAGGTACCTTTCTTTCCTTCCCATTTCTGCCAGAAAAATCTCAGTGGAGCTCAGAAAGAAGCCCCTTCAGGGAGAGGTGCCTTGGGAATGTTTTCTGAGCAGCAGCTTCCTTTTGGAGCAGAAGCGATGAGTGCTCAGAAGGAAGAAGCTGGGAGCTTTGGGGCCCCCAGCTTCTTGGTGGGTGGGAAGGGGGGTCCAAGCCCGCTGGGGCATTTCACAAGAGTAAGCATGAACATCACAGATGGCCCGAGACTGGGGACCCAGGGCTGCTGGATACAGAAGGGCTGGAGGAGGGTGTGGTGGCCTGGGAGGGGGGCGGTTTCGTGGACCAGAGCTTCCCCCACCTGGCCCTACAGGGCTCTCTCTTCACTGGTTATCGTGGTGATTCTCCGCAGGTTTTCCCTAACTTTGATAAATTCGGGGGCATGGTCCTCTTCCTTTTCTGGTGGATTTTCCAGCTAAAGGAGAGAAGAAGTAGAGGTGTAAAGTGGGTGTGGCTCGGGGGAATTCCTATTCCCCAAACCACAGTGTTTGGACCAAGGATCCTCTCTGGGGAAACAGAACCAGGGATCAGCTTTGCCACCAGCCTTGGTAGCTGGGGTGACCAGGCAGGAGACTAAGTTTTTTGCTGTGAAGCCTGGTGCAAATCACTTGCCTCACCTGGGCCTCCGGTTCTTCATCTCTAAAATGGGAACGCTGCCTGGCTCGCAGACACATAGTGAGAATGAGATCAGGATCCGCATGCAATAGACTGGGCTGATAAGGGAACCCAGGGTCAGGGAGGGGAAGCCACTGGTTCAGTCACACGGAGTGAGTGGCAGAGTGAGGACTTGAGCCCGTGGTGGACTGCTGGTTTAGGCCTCATTTTGCTTCATCTCCCTCTTGCCAGCTGCGACCACAGGCAGGGCTCCTCCCTGGGCCAGGCTCCGCACCCACCTGGTTCAGCCTCTGCTGCCGTCTCAGCAGCTCCTGCTCAAAGGGGCACTGCAGCCTCTTGGCTTCTAGCTCTTCCTTCTTCTTCTTGATGAGCTGGTTCCGCCTGCGGTGCTCCAGGACACGCTGCAGCTCCGGCTTGCTGTCCACGCCCAGGCCCCTGGGTGGAGGGAGCCATCAGGTGACCCCAACTCTCCCCTTGCCCCGCCCAGTCTCAGGGCTGCACCCTGTAGTGACATCTACCTATACCATCCTGTCAGTACAACCCTCCTGGCAGCCCCAGGAGGTGGTCCCATTCCTGTCCTGTTATCCAGAGATGGGAAATGAGGCTCCTAGGACTTAAGACACCAGTCCCGGTCACAGCTATGAAGGGGCTCAGCGAGCATGAGCACCCAGGCCCGTCTGACTGCAGAGGCCAGGTTCTGTGTTATTTCTGGTTACGTTCCCAGGGTAAGTTTCTAAAGGTGGAATTGCTTTGTCAGGCTCTTTTTAAGGGTTTGGATATATATTTCCATCTGCCCCCTAGGAAAGGTTACCTAATTTATACTCTGTCATCAGTGTACAAGAGCATCTACTCCTCCCCACCATCACCATGCAGTCTTTTTATAGTTTAGGATCTGGTAGGCAAGAAATAATACCTGGTTTTCATTTCTGTTTCTCCGATTATTAGTTACATGAACAGCAGCCTTTGAGATGTGTACCAGTCATTTGCATTTCTTTTGTAAACTGACTATACCCGCCTTTGTTCATTTTCTTCCTTATGGATTTATAAGTGATATGTATATATTTTTTGGTCTGTTTTATATTGTAAATATTTCCCTGATTTGTCTTTTAGGCTTTTTTTTTCTATCGTGGTAGTATTTTTTTGACATTAAAAGGGATGACTCTAAAAAACATTCGGAGAAAATACACATGATATATATACTAAGCAAGGAAAAAAGAACCCACCGTGGATACAAAATGACACCTGCTGGAAGGTCTTGTGCAGAGCTGAAAATACGAGAATCCTAGCCTACGCCAACTCCAGAATGTGCCAGTAGAGGGAGCGGCGGAGGCGCCACGGCCTTCCGCCTGGTGCCAGCCAGCTGGGAGGTATTTCCCAGGCCTCCCCCACCTTCCCTCAGTTGCTGAGTTCCAGCCCTGCCATCTCAAGCCTGACTCTTTCACTGCACCCCTGCTCCTCTCATGCCCCCTCTGTGATTGTGACACTCCTGCTTGAGACCCTTCCCTGGCCAGCACATCTCCTCTGGCCAACCTCAAAATCCATGCTGCAAACACCCTGAGCTACCTGTGTTTCCAGTCTATTTGCATATGCTCTCCCCTTTGCTGGGAACATACTTGCTTCCCCCAGCCGATGCCCACCTCCTAGTCTGGCTGACTCTTGTCCATCCTTCAGGTGTTAGCTGTTAGGGATCCTCTCCTCCGTGAGGTCACCTTGGACTACTCCTAGGTGCCTCCTCTGAGGTTCCAGGCCCATTTATGCCCTCATCATACTGCATGGTTATGCATCCATCCCCACTCTC